CTTCTCCTCCCTTTCCCGTCTGGCGCGTCGCTGGGTTCAGGCCCCGTACTATGTGAGGCCACTGGGCGTCAGTTTCACGGGAAAAAAAAGAAAGTTCAGGGTTTTCTAACTTATCCCCGTGCTGTGCAGCTGCCGTGTCATGGCCGGCCTAGGCAGCACCTGAGGTAGCGCTGCGTGTTGTCGGGGCTGTTGGGCAACAGGGCAAGGTGAAAGGGCGGGTGTGTGCATGGATGGAGGGCAGAGCAGAGAAGTAAATTGTCTGATTTTCCTTTTTAAAAAAAAAAAAAAGAGCTTCGCCTGTTTGGCCGTGTTTTCCAGTTGTAAAGCTTTCCATGGCTTCCATGTTTAAGTCAAGGGGCGACACCTAGATAGATTTTTTTGTTTTGGGTTACACTGTTGGCAAAGGCATCGCTATAGTCTGAGATGGGTTGTAGCGATGGAAGGCTGCGCTTGGTAAAATAATCCAGCCAGAGCCCTGCGGATCACTTGGTGATAGCTTGCAGCTAGGCTGCGTGCCCTGCTGTGGCTTGGTGTCACTTAGATGCTTGCAAGAATGAGATCGGTCCCTCTAAGTTTGGAATTGAGAAGAAAACTTAAGTTTGTGGCAGAGGAAAGAAGAACGTGCTCCTCGTCAAACTGCAAGTATCTTCCTTATGTCAGGAAAGCAGGGGAACAGCTGCTCAGAGCAGCCTGCAGCATGCTTCGTTTAGGAGGTGGTGGCGTACGGTTAGTGCGAGTTCTGTCAAGATTAAATTTGGTCGGTGGCTGGCTGGTCACAGCTCGCTCTTCAGCTTGCCCGCGCCTCAGGTTGATGAAGTTTGGAAATTGTACTAATGCCTTATTCCCTGGTGAAAACTAGATGCCAGAAGCTTCAGGTGGTTTCGTGGGATTTAATTCCTGGCCGTAACTGAAGAGTTAATTGTTTTGTATGTGTTGGTGTGCCAAATGTGACCCTTTGGAAGGCAGGGCATAGCAAAGCTAGTGTGATTTGTTGCAGGTAAGGTGGTTGTTTACAGGTGTGACCCCACGCTGACCACAGGTCTGATCACGGTGACTTGTTTGCTGCTTAAGATCCAGATACAACAGTCTTCCTCCCTCAGATGGCCTCTTTACCTTGCGGGTTCCATTAAATTAAGCCTGTCAGTCAAAATCCCGTTTCTTGTGGACGCTGCGAAGCGGTAGAGGTCACTTTATCTGCTTGACTGGTTGGCTTTTACTGTTAGGCTTTCTGGGCAGCCGGTTATCCTGATGACTCCTCAGTGAGTCTCTCGTGTTTCTCCAAGCGTGGCTGCAGAAAGGCAGCCTTCTCTCATGGACAGTTACTGGACTGTCATAAACAACTTTTGGACAAGAATACCCTCTTCACTGGCAACAAGAGGACAGCAACGCTTGAAAATCAGAACCACCTCCGAAGACAAAAAATTACGTACCTTGGTGTTTGGAGTTAGTGCTCTAATAGCTGACTTTCAGATAACGTGGGTATTTTGTAAGCAGCAGAGGTAACTTGGATATTGCCTCTGAGGACCGTCTTGGGCTATGTAGGGCCGCAGCTCTCCCCCCTGTTGTTGCTAGTTCCTGGGAAGTAAATTGATATGTGTCATCATGAGGCCCGTGTACTCCTGGTGGAGCCAAGATCATCTTGGTTTCTTCACGCACTTACCAGTGCAGATGATAAATGCGTGTTCTTCCTGCACATAAAATCTCTCTGTGCCCTCTGGTAGATCCGAAGGCTACCTCTGTAGCCTAGATCTGGAAACATCTAGAGTAATATTCTAGCTGTTTAGAGTGAGAAGAGAGGAGAAACTTTGTGATCCGAATCTCTTGTTCGTTAAGATAAGTCCAGAGGACATTGAAGAAAATAAATTGCTACCATCAGCTTGCTGCTGTGTTCATCTTCTGATATTTTATTTTCTTTTTTTTGTTCACTACCTTACAGCCTAGGCCATTCTATGATTCCGAGCACTGCCTGATCCCCTGGGGTTGCATTGTTTGGTCTTCTTTTTTCTTCTTTACATCTCTCTTCCCTTTTCTCCTCTCCTTTGTGTATTATTTTGTACATTGTCTGGTGTTTGTGACATTGAAAGAATTTTTCTGCAGTGCTACACAGGCCTGTGGTGTCTTGTCCTGTAGTGACTTGTAACATAGTGTTTTGGTATTGTACTAGAACGGGGATTTGTTTAGTAATCACTCCAACGTTGCTTTTAGTGCTTTTAATTTTAAAAGAAATAAAAAACCCCCTTGACCTTCCACATCAATGTCACTCCGTTAACAGATGCCTCTTCAAGTAATACGTGCGTGACCTTAAGAGTTTGGCAGCAAACTGCTGAATTGGCACCAGACACCTCTTGAAACAGAGTTTAAAGTATTGAAAAACTCCTGAAAAGTGTTTTCCTTCCAGGTGCAGTTTTAGGTTAACTTAGTTTGGGAGGCAAAATGGACATTCCAGCTCTTCCAAGTCTATTCTGTGAAACAAAACAACGCTTGACTAAGTGCCTGTGAAGTGTTGCAGGATATCGTGAGGAGAGTTATTTTGTTAAATTCGAAGAGCTTTCCTAACTTTACATGATGTCTATTAAGGCAGTGCTAAAAGCTGAAGAATAGACTGCTTTAAATGTTTGGATTTTATTGGTTGTTGCCTTTTTCCACCCTGACAGAGCTCCAGAGAAGGGATAAAAATGTTGGTTAAGGTTCGATCCATTGCCAACACGTCGTCTAGTGGCTTTGGCAAATCCTTGCAACTGCTGCTTTTCGTGAAATCCCCCGTGTGGGCCATCCCAGTGTTCTGACTGCCTTTGTCGTGGCTGCACTTGATGTTTCATCAGAAATCACTTCAAACTTGTCAGACCCAGCTTGTCCCTGAGCTGGCTGGTGCCTCCTCCCTGCCACAGCTCAAGGGACAAGAGGAAAGGGTGCTGCACACTCTCTGTGGCGGCTTTCCTTGGGAAAATCTGCTGCCTCTCATTTCAGCTCTGGCTGGTTTTTTAATTACTTTGAGTCGTTTCGCTAAATTAAAGCAATCTTCACAGAATCTCTTTAATTTCGCAACTCCTCGCTTCTTCACCCTATTAATATTAATGCATTGCTTTGGCTAGTTTGTAATGGGGAGATGGAGAGGTGGGAACTCCCTGGGTGAATATAAACCACTGAATTCACAATATGCTCTGTGGGCTTCTATTGTTTTAAGGGGTTTGGGAGCAGGGAAACATGCCCGAAGTTCTTTGATGTTAAAGATGGTTTTCTGTATCTTAATATCACCCTGTTGTTACAGGGGAGGTTTGTCAGCCTTTTGCAGGGGACGTCTCGGTGTGTGTTTGTCTCTTCTGCTTCATTTACTAAGAAAATGATCTCTGAAGGATTTCTGCATCTTTAAAGAAAGACTCTAAAGGAGTGCCTGCCTTCCCTGATCTTACAGGGCTGCAGACAGCATACAAATATTTCACTAGTTCCCTCTGTTGCTACATCCAGACCCCGCATGCCCAGCATGGTGCCTGTGAGCTAAGAGATTATTTTTATCTGAGGAAAGGACTTGAAATGGATTTTAGAAAAAGCTGTGGGGCAGGGGCAGAAAGCCTTGATCCTTTTTACTGCAAGCTCACAGTGGCAATACAGCAAGCCCGTTGGCTGTGGAAAGCAGCAAGAACTAACACAGGCTTGTTGTTTCTTTTTAGCCTTTAATGTACTCATGTCTCTCTTACTCCAAAGCTGCCATCTGGCTTGGCATCTTTCAAATCTTATGCACACGTGGAAGGGCAACGCAGAAATTCCCAACTGGAGACTGTTCTGGTTTTCTTAAGTTGTGCAAATGCGCGCAGACTTAAATTTCTGTTTGATTTATTTGTCTGCGGAGTCAGCCAAACTCTGTTTGTAAATGTCATGAGTATGTGTGTGAGTAGAAGTGGTGGATATAAAGCAAAGAGCGAGCAGCCGCGTGCTGCTGTGAGAGAAATGGCTGGGGCTGTTGCCACAACTGGAACCTGTGGGCCAAAGTCCAGCATATTTTGATGAGGCAGAAACAAAACAATAGAGCCGCAAAAAGGTAGGAAAACTCCTTGCAGAAAAGGAAATTGCAGTAAGTGAGCAAGACCGATAAGATTTTAGAGATACAACTAGAGGGAGGAAAAGTGAAGATGAGAGGTGGTGGAAAGAGGAGTTTTTTAATGGAAGTTATATTTCAAGAGTCAAGACCTAATCCAGTTAAAATAAACTCGTGCTATTATTCTGAAATGTAATCTTTTTGGATCCTTTTTATTTGCTGTACACCACACTAGGGATTTAATCGAAGCTGGCTTTCGTTACTGCTGGTGGTATATTATGTAATTAGTTATAATTTCCCCATTGCCAAACATGCGTTGAATTTCTGAGTTAGAAGGTGCATTGTATTAAAAGCTACTCAGTACCCGTTCCCTGGGGAGGATCCTGCTTGGATCCTTTCTTCCTTAGTGGCCTTCCTGCAGATGAAACAAAAAAATAAAAGTTTTTTTGCTGCTGTGGGGTGTACTCACAGCTGGTTTAATTTGCTGAGCTCGGAAATGCTCTACTACCGATGTTGATGTTGGAGTTTCCCAAATAAAAGCTTAAAAAACACGCAAACAGACCCCAGAGGTTAGTCCTCACCCTTGTGCAGAAGGGATTTGGTTGAAGGAGAACTCCTATCAGTCAGTAGACAGGAGTAGATTAACGAGGTGAGTGTCAAAAGAAAACATTCTTGTAACATCCTGCGTTACTGCTACAGAACAAAAAGGCCTGTTGGAAACTAAAGGTATTGCCACAAGCACGAAGACATTTACTGCTGAGTAATATCAACAGAATGTTGTGGTCAAAACCTGACCGTCTCTCTTTTTTCTTTTTTATTCTAGTTGAATGGATTGCTGCGATCTCCGTAGCTGCTGGAGCAGCTGCTGTTGGGTATCTAGCTTACAAAAAATTTCTCTCTAAAGACAAATGCTGCAAAGCAATAGTGAACCCCCATATCCAGAAGGATAACCCCAAGGTAGTCCATGCATTTGATATGGAAGATCTGGGAGACAAGGCTGTGTACTGTCGTTGTTGGAGATCTAAGAAGGTAAGAGGGGGAATAAATGGTCCAATTTTGTTGATATGCATGCATCTTTCAACAAAACTTTTTTTTAAACTGCTTGATTTAGAAGAAACAATCTTTTCACCTCCGCTGTTCTGCAGTGAGATGTAGCAGTATTTTAAACCATAAAGCTGTGTAGATTTATGCTGGCACTTAGAGTAAAGCCCGCGGATCAGTGCTAATAGTGAACGTGTTTCTGTAGCACTGAAGAAGTGGAGCCCTTGAAAGGACAGATGCTGTATGGAGCAATCACAGTCATGGAGGACAGACAGCATTTTGTGTGCTGCCTCTGCTGGTACTGAGGCTTTCCCAAAACTCCTGACCCGTGGGCAGTAGGAGCTCAGGACCCGCAGTCTGAGAAGACCTTAAATGCCTTTTACTGGAGGAAGCTGGAAGCTTACTCTGTCAGTGAGAAAGTACCTTGCAACTAGTTCGTGGTGTTAATAACGCAAAGCAATGAAGAAGTGTCTTGGTATGCCAGAGCTGGTGTCAAATTGCCACTTGCCGTGTCTGAGTCCATTGTTAGATCTTGTAGACGGAGTGAGTACAGAATTGTTTTGGAAAGAGTCTGACTTGCACAGATGACGTTACGGCGGTACCGCTGTTCTGAGTTTATTGTTGCACTGTCGTGTACTGTAGATAGCTCCCTTTTGCCACAGGAATGGGTACAGCGGCAAATTGTTGCCAGTGGTGATGGAGGTAATCTAAAAAAGTCATTGTGGTTAAAAGCTTTTGAAGCGCCTGCACAGGTGCACTTAATGTATTCCTGCCTTAACAACTCAAAATGGATAATCCTAAAGTCAAGTCAGTAAAATCATGACGATGTACTTTAAAACTGGTTTTGAGCAATTACAAGTCTGGCCTAGACACTGGTCCTGCTTATTTGCATACAAAGTTGCATTGCTCAGCTGCCTGAAATTAGCAGTAAACATGATACCTAGCCTTTCAGACCAGATTTAAATCTGAGGCAGTGATGTTTGATGTAGCTGAGATCGGTGTAATTTATCTGTAGTGGTAGTTCTGGGATCTACAATGAGAGAAAGCAGATTGTGCGAGCAGTTGTGACTCCCATTTACCACAGGCATGCATTTAAAGCTGTTCTAGAAGTCTGGATATTAATGTGTGGAAACTGAGATAATATAAACCTTCAAAGCCAGGTAACTGAGGCCAGCAGCCTTGAAATCTAGCTCTCTCCCCATCAGTAACTGAACACTGGACTTCTCAAGCCTTAGACACTGGTCTAACTGGGCTGCACTGCCATTTTCTCGGTGCTGTAACTTCTGGTTCTTGCTGTTGTCAGATCTGACTTGGTTACCTTGCGGGTGACAATAATTCAGTAAATTACCCACTTGTAGCTGTATTTGGTTTAACACTAAAACACTATTGAGGCTTAAACAGTCTCATGACTTGACTCTGGAGTAGTCCAGCGGAGATGGGCTTCTCTTGTCTGCTCTGTCTGGGTCTGAACTTAAGACCAGATTTTTTAAAATTTCTTTTTCTCCCCCCACTCCACAATGAGTGTGCTCCGTGCGCTACGTATATCAGGAAAAATGCGTACGTTTATGTATCCATGCAGTGCTGATGGCTCTACAGCCTGCAGGTCAGGCATGCGTATAGCAGCATTGCTGCTAAATCGTTGTGGTCCAAGTCTCAGCTGACAGACAGCATCCAGCATTGGAAGCTGCCGTGAGGGCTACAGCTCCAGAAAAGAAAAGGGGGGAGGAGAAAGGCCGCTCTAAGTATCTGCACTTTGTTTTAATGTCTGAGTTTAATATCTGAAATAATTTAGGTGCCTTCTTCAGCACTTCTGCAAAAAAAACCCTAAAATCTAAACTTGAACCTTGATGTTTGTACTTTCTGCTTCCTACTCTTGTTTTCTAAACAGAAATGGAAGGTAGTGACTGGTTTTAGTGGTTGCATTGCAACTCCTGCCAGTATTTGACGTATCAAAGGTAAGTTGTCAGTTCAGGAACGTGCTGTCCTATTGAGTTGGGACTCTGTAGTCACACACTGAAAGGAAGTAGATGGGACTACTTGATGATAAGTTTGTTCTTAGAACTCTGATCTGAAAGGCCTTGTAAAGGCATTAAGGGGGTCACTGGAAAATTTTGGAAGTAATTTGTTTTCTTTTGCTGATATTTAATAACGAGTGTTGTAATCAGCATGTTCTGCTTCTGTGGTGGATAGTGTGATCTTTAAGATCTTCTCATGTTCAGGTATTGTCAAGCAGGAATAAAATAAGGAGATATCCTTCATCTTTCTAACACGCTTGTCATCTTTGGAAGTAGTTAACTAGCATTATCTGTCTTTTACAGTTCTCAAACTAAGATCCTGTTAAAATTTCTAAGATCATGTTTTTTGTGTGGCAAAACTGTAGAATGTGTGTGCTTCCAGTGCAGAGGATTACAATGAATTAGCAGTAAGTACCCGCTGTGTTTTTGTTATGGAAGTGGTGTATGGGGATCTCTGCTCCATACACAGGTTAGAAGTAGTTAGAAGCCTCTTGTGTGACTGAGCACTTCACACCAGATTTAGCCTCTTCTCAGGCGTGAGACTGTTAATAGCGCCAGTAGGGTTATGAACCACAGGATTCTTCTTGTGCGCACTGACAGTGTGAATGCTGTAACGCTGCCTTCCCGTGGTGTTCCTCCTGCACGGAGAATAAGGAAACAGTCGGTCTGTAGCTGAGTGTTTTGGAGTAGCTCTTAAAAAAGGAGCAGGATTATTTTCAGTTGACTTTTTTCTGGAAGAGTGTACCTAAAAGGTGTTTGGGTTTTTTTGTTTGTGCTGGGCAAAGTCTTCGTGGAGTGTGTGTGTATATTAAAAAAACCACAAAAGTGGTATTTTCAAATAAGTCTGTCTTGGGATGTAATTATTTGTTAAAGGAGGTGATAGGTAGTTCTCTAAATGGCCCTTTTCTCTTCAGTGTTGTGCTCTGCTGGCACTTCGTAGTCCTGCTTGTCAGGTTCTCTGGAAAGACCCAGTGTTCAGATTTACTGGTGTAGATGCAAGAGCTTTGTCTTAAAACCAAATTGTAGTTAGACTAAGGTTAGAATGTTTTGGTGTGGTGGGTTTTTTTCACTC